TCTCCGTCCTCCTCCGTTCCATTTGCCTAGGCCCTCTTCCTAACACGCGCCGTCCAGAGCAACATTGAACAACGTAGGAGTGGAATCGAAGGGAAGCCCCTTCCCTTTGATCCCTTCCCCGCGCCGGAGGGGGGGTCCCATTGGGGGGTCGCCACCCGGGTATGCTTGGGGGGGGGGTCAGATACGTATCCCCCCTGGGGGCCCCGGGGCCTCAGAAAGTACCACGACAGGCCAAGAGTGCTCCAAAAGGCCCCCGCGACGTTCCAAGAGGGCCCCTAATCGCCAAACGATCGGTCCAAAACGCCTTCACGCCCTTTAGACTGCCCCAGAGGCCTCGAGGACGCCCCAAGGCGCCTCCAAGAGCACTTCTGAAAGGGCCCCAAGAGGCCAAACTCATTCATTTCCCGTTGGTTTTTGAAAGATTTGGGCGTCCTCGCCTTTTCCACTTCCCGCTGCTCCAAGACGGCGCAAGAGGCCCCAAAAATTGCCCCAAGACGGCCCAAGCTGCCTCCACGAGGGCCCCCAAACAGCCCAAGAGGACCCCAAGACAGCTCAAGACGCCTCCAGGACGGCCAAGAGGCCCCCAAGACGGCTCCAAGAGCATGCCCAGACGGCGGGCCCGAACGGACATTTCGAGCTCTGGCCCCAAGAGGCTCCCAGGAGGCCCCAAGAGGTTTCCAAGAGGCCCCAAGAGGCCCACAAGAGGTCACCAGCCATGTGTGCCCTCCTCCTCCTCCTCCTCCTCCTCCTCAGGGGACATCTGAGGAACATGCATACGGCCACATCCAAGACCTGTTCTGGGGTGTATCAGAAATCTGGCCCTCTTTACTACATCGTCTTCTGGACGGGCCCTTTGGTACAAGGACGACCGAACAAGTCCGGAAGCCGTCGAGCTATCCTCATCCTCGCCCACCTCATGTGACTATTAATCATCCTCCTCCTTGGGTCCTCCTCCTCTTCCCTCCCACCCTCTATCACAAGTTGCGTCTCCTCATGCAGCGGGGCTGCTGACAGAAGGAATGATGAATAAGGCACGACGCCCCTCTTTGGGCCAAAACGCGCATGCGTGCAAGAGGAGGGCCAGAGGAACAGTCATGGAAGGACCCAAGGAACATCGAGCCCCTTCCGAACCCAAACTGCTCATGATTTCATCGTCTTGACTGCAGGGTGCGCGCGAGCACGACAAGTCGTCGGCGATCAGCCCGCCCCACAGCGTTCAGTCGCCTGGTGTCGTGCGCAATGCCTGACATGAGCGTCAGCGTGTGCCTCCCTCCCTCCCTCCCGCTCCTGCTCCTGCTCCCCTCCTCTCGAGGCTCCTCCCCCCATGCCGGCGGGCCTGATGCCCCGCGAGCGCATCTCGTCCCACCTCGGACGGGCGTGGAGCAGGATGATTGCACGGGGACGCCGGGGACGCAGAGCACTGCGCATGCGAGCTCTCGCCCGAGCTACGGCGCAACGGCGCGGAAACTGTGCCCGTGCCCAGCGGCCATCGCCGCGACAGACGCCTCCATGCGCGTGCTGCCACGGCCTTCAGCCGCGGCAGCTCCAAAACGTCCCGTCTCCCGACTGACCTCACGCTCGGTGTGCAGGACGCCGCCCGCAAGCCGCCGACCCGCAACCATAGCCAAGCCCGACCGCGGCGACGAGGACCTCAAAAGCAGGGCGATCCAAGAGAACCCTGGTCGGAGGCTTGGGGGAGAGGGAGGGGAAAAGGGAGAGGACAGGGGGATGCAGAAGAGGAGGAAGAGGAGTAGGGAGGAAGAGGATAACCTGGCACAGATGAGACTCGAGGATGGTAATCTTTACCCTGTTACGGCCCGCGGTGCTCTCAGGGGGGCAGGAGAGGCTCTGCCCAAGCAGGTAGATCAGGACCAGATGGATAGAGCATGGGATATATACGTTTCAAAAAAAAAACCATACCACCCAAACGCTCTGCAACCGTAAACTATATAACTCAGTCAATGTGGTGCAATATGCGTGGCGCAGTCATTGTGATGCAAACTATGTGGTGGTAAGCAATAAATGTGATATACGCAACGTAGTGCAATCTACGATGTGTCAGCTCTATCGTGCAATATGCGTGGTGCAACAAAAACGTGGTGCAACATATGTGGTGCAACCCGCGTGGTGCAATTGATGAGGAAAAACGTATGTGGTGTAGGCGACATGGTAGAACCAATTGGTGGTCCTACATATACGTATATATATATACATATATGTGTTATGTGTATAGGGGTATTGGTGCAGTCTGAGTGGTGCAGTCTGAGTTGTGCAAGTAGTGTCTGTTCGCAGTGAGTTGTGCACGCCACTGCTCGCGCAACCATCCCGCCCTCCCACCCGCAACTTGGTTTGCAGCCCGCTGGGCATTTCTCAACGGGCACTCCATGGGCTAGCGCGGTATCATCGCAACGTCGACAGTTGTACTAACAATGATGGTATCGATACTGGAACGATGATGGCACCGACAACGGCAAGGCCACTGACGGCGCCGATGGTGATCACGCCGACCACATGCCGGCGTTCTCGCGTCGGTGATGAAGGTTTTGGAGAGAGTTCGACATGCGCGCGCGGCCGACGCGCGAGTGGCCTGCATGGTAGTCTTTGGCACGGGCCGTGCCCCCCACCCAGCACGCGCGCAAGGGCGTTCGAATGATTTCGACATGCGGCGCGAGACCCGTTTGGCCGAATGTAATGCAAATGCGGGAAGACATACGCTTTTCTCAAGACTTCGCCAGAGCGCGAGCGCAAGTTTTTTTTGTCATTTCTGGACAGTTATTCGTGAACGGATGTTGCAAAACCACGCGTGATTTATATCTATATCTACAAATATTCGGGACAATCGATCTTGAAATCCCTGCGACACTTACGTAATTGAGAGATGTCGGCACGCGCACGCGACAACGCGCGCATGTGCCCTTCGTCCTATTTTTGGCACGGGGTTCCTGCGACAGCACGCGCACAAAGGCGTTCGAATGATTTCGTCGTGCGCGCGCGAGCGGCACTTTTGGTAGAATTGCCTGAGCATGTTGAGAATCCTAGTGTTTTCTAAAGAATTCGCAAGCAAGCGGGCGCTGAGTTTGTTTGGGGTGTTGTGTGGCAAAACCATGTCTTGTTGTAATATGTTTCAGGGGCACTCGAATTCAACATCGCTGCGCAACCTGACGTGTTTGACGGATTTCGGCTTGCGCGCGCGACGACGCGCGCGCGCACACCTCGCCAAATGTTTCGCCACGGATTTTTGAAGGCTGGTGAATTGTGATGATAAACGGTTGCGAGCGCATAATACAGTTTGCTGAGTCAGCTGGGGATGAGGGCATCATTCGGATCCACGGGCGTGCAGAATGAATACGAGATCGCAATGCGCGAAGGGGTACCGCTAAGTCCAGGGGGGAGGGGGGAGAGTCGATATGTCTATATATCAGAGTGAGGGGGCCGAACGGTCATTCACTGTCCCTGGGTGCGTGGCTGAAGTGAGATTCCGCGGTGCGGATTCGTGTTGTTGTTGTTGTTGTTGTTTGTTGTTGTTGTTGTTGTTGTTGTTGTCCCACCCGCAACCCGCCCCGCGACCCACCCGCGACCCACCCCGCGACCCACCCGCGACCCACCCGCGACCCACCCGCGACCCACCCGCGACCCACCCCGCGACCCACCCCGCGACCCACCCCGCGACCCACCCTGCGACCCACCCGCGACCCACCCGCGACCCACCCGCGACCCACCCCACGACCCACTCCGCGACCCACCCGCGACCCACCCGCGACCCACCCGCGACCCACCCCGCGACCCGCCCGCGGCCCACCCCGCGACCCACCCGCGACCCGCCCGCGACCCACCCGCGACCCACCCGCGACCCACCCGCGACCCACCCCGCGACCCACCCGCGACCCACCTTCGACCCAAACCACGTTCAAGGTACAAACCAACATTTTCGGCGCCTGCGGCGGGTTTTTCTTGCATTCCCTCCAGGTGGAGAGCCCGCGACCCACCCCGCGATCAACTCGCGACCAACCCGCGATCCAAACCACGTTCAGGGTACAAACTACATTTTTCGGCGCCTGCGGCGGGCATCTTTTGCATTCGTTCTAGGTGGAGAGACCGCGGCCCACCCGCGACCACGTTCAGGGTACAAACCAAATTGTTCGGCGCCTGCGGCGGGCATCTTTTGCATTCGTTCTAAGTGGAGAGACCGCGGCCCACCCGCGACCCAAACCACGTTCAGTGTACAAACCGCGGCGGGCTGATTTTGCAGGAGGACGAGGAGGATGATGATGATGATGAGGAGGAGGAGGAGGAAGCGGACGATGACGACGACGTCGACGACGACGAAAAGGAGGAGGGGGGAGGATCGGGAGGGGGGGGGAAGAGGAGGAGGACGACGACGAGGAGGAACATGACGACAATGGGAGGACGATGATGGAAGGACGAGGGGGGCAGAGGGAGGACGAGGAAGAAGCGGAGGAGGAGGAGGACGAGGTGGAGGAGGACGACGATGACGATGAGGACGAGGACGAGGACGAGGAAGAGGAGGAGGAGGAGGAGGAGGCGGAGGAGGAGGAGGAGGAGGAGAGCGCCATCGACAGGGAAGGTGGGGGCCACGAGGTCCGCTGACTTGACGACGCCCGCGTCGCCCGCGCCCGCCCCCTCACTCTTATCCGCAATTGCGGGGTGCTACGGTATATATAACTATATATATATGTATATATGTATCAAAGTGAGGGGGCTGAACCGAACGGTCACTCCCTGTCCCTGGGTGCGTGGCTGAAGTGGAATTCCGAGATGCGGATTCGTGTTGTTGTTGTTGTTGTTGTTGTTGTTGTTGTTGTCGCCGTTGTTGTTATGTGTTGTTTGTTATTTGTTGTTTGTTGATTGTTGTTTGTTGTTTGTTGTTTGTTGTGTGTTGTGTGTTGTTTGTTTGCTGTTGTCGTCGTCCCGCCCGCGACCCGCCCCGCGACCCACCCGCGACCCACCCCGCGACCCACCCGCGACCCACCCGCGACTCACCCCGCGACCCAACCGCGACCCACCCCGCGACCCACCCGCGACCCACCCGCGACCCACCCGCGACCCACCCCGCGACCCACCAGCGACCCACCCCGAGACCCACCCGCGACCCACCCGCGACCCACCAGCGACCCACCCCGAGACCCACCCACGACCCACCCCGCGACCCACCCGCGACCCATCCGCGACCCACCTGCGACCCACCGCGACCGACCCGCGACCCACCCGCGACCCGAACCGAGATCAGTGCAAATCAAAATGTTCGGCGCCTGCGGCGGGCTGTTTTTGAATTCCTTCCAGGTGGAGGCGGAGAGCCCGCGACCCACCCAGCATCGACGCCCGCGTCGCCCCGCGCCCGCCCCCTCACTCTTATCCGCAAGTGCGGTGTGCTACGTATCCAGAAAGAGAATTTACGAATGGGCACTAGTGGGTTGTCGATTCCATCGCTCGCGCAATCATCCCACCGTCCAACCCGCAATCTGGCTTGCAATACCCAGGCATAGGCGATTGCGATGACTCAATGTCGCTGGCTGGCACATCGCGGCGGGCGCGCTAGCTTGCGCAGACTCGCGCGCACAGCGGCCAGCTAGTCTGGCGCGACCTGCGCGGCCGCGGTGGCGCTCACGGGTGGGAGCTTCCAAGCGCGTCTCGCAAGCCGCGCTGACGCGCGGGCACTTCACTGCGAGTCGATGACCCGAGCGGGCTCGATGTCATGGGGACGTCGGCGATTCTGACGATGACGACGCCAACTCGCCGATGCTATCACGCCGATGGCGATGGTGGTGTCCACGTGTCGCCATGAAGATTGTGGACGGACTACACCACGCGTGCGCGGCCGTCGAGCGCAATCGCCCCGCATGGTATCATTTGATCGGGAACGTGCCCCCCGCCCCCCTCCCCCCTCCCAGAAAGAACGTTCAAATGATTTCGACACGCGCGCATGGTCGAATGTGATGAAAACGTTGGGAAATCAGTATGCTGTTCTACAAACCCTGTGATGGTTTAAACCAGGTTGCCAAAACAATACTGTTTTTCCAAATCATCCTGTGGTGTTGGGTCCTCGTTTTGAGGAAACAGCGCCCCGCGTTTCTGTTCCTCCTCCTACTGCCCCCTCTGGTTCCCATGTTGGCACACCCCTTATATGTTTCGCGGCCCCCGACGGAGCTCCACCGAAAGGCCCAGCGGCTCTGACCACACACGCCGCCGCCACCCAATTCGGCACACCATAGGGAGGTTCCACCGGAGACCCCCGATGGCTGTGACTACATGCGTCCCGACAACCATTTCGGCACAACCCTCAAGCGTTTCGTGGCCCCACAGGGGGCTCCACCGCAAACCCCACTGGCTCTGACCACATGCGTCCCC